GATATAGTTCGCTTAGCTTATTTTTAAAGATGTAACAAATTTTCAAAGGGTACATATACTAATATTGTTGATATAGTTCGCTTATTTAATTAAAAAATAAAAAAAAAACTGTTTAAGTATTTTTTGTTAAAGAGGACCAATTAATATGATCCCAGTATTCAAACTACATTAATTGACAAATAATATTAATAATAATTGTTCCAAATATTAATAATAATTGTTCCAAATACTAAAAAACTGAATTTTGTGTGTGTATTACACAGTGTGGTAAAAAGTAACACCTTATAAATTTTATTTCATTTATTGACGAATGCTTATTTATAAAAACAGAGACATTCATTTTCATAGTTATTATTATATTGATTTCTGAGCCAAATCCACATTTATTTAGAATAATTTATTAATTAAAACAATTTAAAAGTATGTAATTAACTAATTTTTGGTGTTTTTGGTAGGAAATAATGGTGGTATATTTAATTGGTATACTCTTTTACAAAGATTTAAATAGTTTTTTTGTATGCCAATGGGCATGCAATATTTACCACCTGTACATTTTGTACATATTATGGTGCTATAAAAAAATCTGAAATGTCAATATTCCATGGGTATAGTGATAAATGAGGTCTATATTATAACCAAATGCAATTTCTACGAAAACTTGAAGAGATGGGTAAAAAATGGTATAATACAATTTGATAGACAATTACATTGTGCATCTGATTCACGTAAAATATATAGGGTGTTCCATTTAAATGAAACAAGTTATTGCCATTTAAAGCTAGTAATTATTTAATATAAATTTTTGGACACTCTGTATATGGTAGTAAAATTTTTATTATTGCAACACAATATCTGATCAATAAATAATCTTCAGTAAATATTTAGTATTAAAAACTTTGATACCCTAGGAGAAATAAAGCCTTAAAATTTTTACTGCAATTTCATAAAATTGAAAATATTTCAAAAACGGTAAGGTTTAAGTGTGATAAACCTTAATAAAATTTACCTTTATTTCAATCGTAGAATCCAAAAATAGAATAATATACAGGGTGTTCCATATAAAAAAATACAACTATAATATTTTTTACTTATTTGGGACACTCTGTATCTTGTAAAAATATTTTTAAATTGTAGCTCTAATAGACCTTCAACAAACCCGAAACTTACAATTTGTAAAAATCTAATCGTTTATCTACAATTTACTTATTATTTCAAGGAATTTATTACGAGTAGTAAAAATATTGTGCTGGGTTGGCGTTGGTTTCTATGTAATTTGACAAATAAATAAAGCTGTCTCTTTAGTTGTCAGTTTTGAGTCAATATTTTTTAATTCTCTTTTTCGTGTCGATTGCTGATTGAATTGGAGTCAGAAATGGCTCAAAACGAAATAAGTAAATTACCAACAGATATCCAGGCTGAGGCGACAAACGCCATATCCAAACTACTTCCATTTAAATCCCGAATAAGTTATGAAAAGGAATACAGAAATTTTCAAAAATGGAAGCAATTAAACAACGTGCGAGAAGAAATAAAGTTTTTAACCAATCCTCGCTGTTAAAGTATCATTTAATCTACCATTGCGATTAAAGTTCTATTTTATCTACTATTTTTGATAGATATGAGGCAATTTTAACAGTTGCTAAGGAAAAAATTAATTAATTTGAGGGGGTGTCAATTAATGACGTCAGGAAATCAATCAAGGGGGGTTAAGCCGAATCTCACAAAATCATACGTAGGGGTGAAAGGGGGTTTTGGCAAGAGGGTTGAAATAAATTTCACGGTCAAAGGAAGGGTTAAAAAATCCTCAAAAGTACGTAGTTAACGAAAAGAAATTATTAGAAAAAAATGTTATCACTACTTATTATACAAGAGTTCCCAAAAATTTCAATATAATTATATATGAAATTATACAATCACTGCAAAAACTATCTTAATCTTATTTATTATTCTAATTGTCTTAAACACAGCTATACTTAGTAAGACTTATAATTATTTCAACTATACAATTTGTTTATTTGTAATGAACAAAAAAAAATAGAAGATATGTATAATTATCGCAGTGGGAAAGCTATTTATAAGCGTTAGTCAGAAATTATTTAAAATAACTTTCGAAGTTCGCATTTTAAATATTGTGCATTCAATCGCGCAATAGAAAAATTAATGTAAATTGTACATACTTATACACGGTGTTTCTTTAATTATTGTATATAAAGTAGAAAAAAATAATTAATATGACGAGTTTTCTTTCTTGTAAATTTAATCTACTACTTATGTTGCAATGTTATCAAGACATTTTGTTTTTTTAACTAAAAATTCCAAAAAAATACAAATTCTCCGAAAAAAATGGTCGCCAAATAAACCACGTAACTGTGTTTCTGGGGTCGAAATATATTACCCCTAAAATATTTGCGCTTATTTAAGACACCCTGTATAATAACACCCCTTTTTCTCAATACTTTTATAATAGCCAAACATATTGTACCCATGGTACAAAGAATACAAGGTATGATATTGGGCAGGTTGGTCGCTACGTCACAGGTTATAACAGGCGCTATTGGTCAGCACGCTCCGCGCGCCAGTTCAAATCGTCAAGATATTGTTATAAACCTGTTTTTTTGTTTATATACCGTCATTGAATTATCGCTAAGCAAGTTACTGTGGAGCAGTGCGTAAGGAGTCGGGCTAGGAAGCGAGAGACCGGAGTTCGAATCTCGGCCGGGACATAACTTTTTATTTATTTTTTAAATACTGTTGTATTCTATAGTTTATTTTGTGGTATAAAAAAAAAGAACTATTTATTCTGTTATTTTTTTAATCTCCGGTATTAATATAAATTGATTGTTGGTACAATACCTCATTTAATATAAAATAATATTCTACTTTTTGAAATGTATCGGGCCCTAATTGTACCTAAAAGTAATATATTTTTAATGATATGCCATATTGTAATCTATTTAATATTTCAGTCACTTAAAAAGTTAATTTGCATTGAATAATTGCCTACCATTAGAGGAAATTTGAGCTATATAATCCTTGATGGGCATATTCTGGGTATGCAAATACTTCCTCTAAATTTTGGGTTTCGTTCAAACGATTTATTCTCAAAACCTGAAACATCTACATATAAAAAGAAGCACAGGTAACTAATTATAATAAACTTCACCCTTGGAATTACTTCCACTAATTATAATAAACTTCACCCTTGGAATTACTTCTATCACAATTACAATACATTCATCTGCATTGGCATTTTCTACTTTTCGATGGGAAACAATAAAATTCCCAACATTTTTTAAATGATGTAACAATTCCTCTTGTGGTTACTTTTCCATATATATCCTCATCTCTGTCCTCATGTGAAATCAGAGGCAATGAACATGAAAATTATTTACCATAAACATCGCAAACTAAAAACCTAATAAACAATTTTATAGGTACCGAATATAGAAATAAATTTAGTATTCTTACCTATTATGGTCCAAAGTCCAAATCCATGTTAATAGATAATTATTATTTTTAAATATATTTTTTTGGAACTTCTGGTTTTAGTAATTATTAAATTAAACTAACTAAAAAGTCTTAAAAATAAACAATTCTTAACCATAACCTCAAAAAATGCTGATCTCCTGTCAACTTTCTTTATTTTTTATTTATTCCTCATTTTCCTAGTGACGTCACAGGTGGTATGCGCGAACTGAACGAAATTGGAGCCGCTATCGATCATACCTTGTATTCTTTGTACCATGTATTGTACCATTAGTTTTTTTCCATAGCAACTGTTAAAATTGCCTTATATCTATCAAAAATAGTAGAGAAAATAGTACTTTAACCACAAGGGTAGATTAAATGATACTCTAACAGCGAGGATAGGTTATAAGTTATTCGGGATTTAAATGGAAGTAGTTTGGATATGGCGTTTGGTGCCTCAGCCTGAATATCTGTTGGTAATTTACTTATTTCGTTTTGAGCCATTTCTGGCTCCAATTCAATCAGCAATCGACACGAAAGAGAATTAAAAAATACTGACTCAAAACTGACAACTAAAGAGAGAGCTTTATTTATTTGTCAAATTACATAGAAACCAACGCCAACCCAGCACAATATTTTTTCTACTCGTAATAAATTCCTTGAAATAATAATTTCTGAATATTTTTTAAACCATCTACACATAGCGTCATCTACACAAAACCTGTCAGGTAAATTTGGGAACTTTTTATTTTTTTAAATTAATCATACAGTTTTTCTTCCAGAAAATGACGATAAAATAGGTTCTGTTGAACTTTTGACACAAAACATCACAAATTTATGATTTCAGTCTAATAACTATCTAGTCAACATGTTTAATTTATGTCAATGATGACAGATTCCAAATAACTCGAGAGTCATTACTTGAAGCGATTTTTACAAAGAGACCTTTTTTACATAAAAAAACGTCGTAAATGTATATTTTTTACTCACTGTTATCAGTCAATTTATTACTCTTAAAAAACCAGTTAAAAAATGTGTAGGTGGCGCTCATGTCAAAAAACTCCTAGACACCAATTTTATACAAATATTGACGTTTCTTCAGAAATTGGGACCGCCCTGTATATAAACAATTTTGGAAAATTACCTTGTTTTGTGAAACTATACAAAAATATTAGATTTTTAAAAGTCTCTTATTAAATATGCTGTAGTATCATCATCATCATCATCATCATTTTCAACAATTTCCAATTACTCACATATTTAGATACTCTCGTTATAGCTGGGCCTATTGTTGGCTATGAGGGCCCAAGTTATCCTTGCTAAATTCCTAATATCATGGTCCCATCTCAAGTTTGATCTTTTCCCTAGGTCTCTTAATTTCCCAGCCGAGAAATGGCATTCGGGGATTATTCTTTGACGCTGTTTTTTTTTCCGACATCATACGGTACAATATTCTTAACATTACGAATATCAAGACTATTGCCATATCAAACTCAGTTACTGCTTAAATATACATGCCTTTTTCTTTTCAGATATTACTATAACAATGGAAAGTATTATAACAATAAAAAAACAAGCAAACAATAAGATAAAATCAACACTCACTTAAAAGCGCAACAAATAAAATGAACAAACAAATAAACAAAAAAAGAAACAGACCCACGAGAACTATGGAAACCGCATCGAGGATACAAACTAACACGACTCACCACTGCATTACGAACAGAAGCTGTAAAAACAAGCAGATCCGTAATCAACGAAATAACAACTTCAAATTCAAAAAATCATCCACGTCCACGAAAAACAACAATACATCTTTTAGTAGAACTATACTCGATCATAAACGACATCACCATCATCACAAGAATCAGCATCATCACAAGCTTAAAGAATCGAAAGGGTCAAGTTTTGATGGCAATTTATTCGATAAATTGCACGATAGTAACGAATGTGTAGTTAAAGTTAACGGTAGTATAGGTGACAATGATGATTTGAGGGATAGTAGTGATGTGAAAGGTAAAGGGAAAAGAAAAAATGAAGATGCAACTGTGATAACTGAAAAATGCGAAGGTAAATGTGCTGGAGTTGAAGATAACAGAAGAAGAAACGGGAGTTTGAAAAGGAAGTTGGAAGAGGAATGTTTAGTTGGGAGTTTTACAAGGTAAGTGGACCAGTAACGCTTCCTCAAATGAATTAACACTCATTTTTAGAGTTCCGTACCTTAAAAGGAAAAAACGGAACTCTTATAGGATCACTTCTATCCGTCTGTCTGTCGGTCAAGACCCCTTATCTCGGGTACAGCGTGGAGGTATCAACTATCCAGTTGAATTTAAAACAATAAACTCAGGTTTACAGTGCCTTGAAGCTGTGAAAAAATAAAACTTCCAAGTTAACGTAAAAAAAGATACGGCCGAAATTTGGCAAGTAGTACCATCTTATACTACCAAGTATAAGGAAAAATATGAAAGCTATACATTTGTAATTAAATCATAAAAAAAATATAGTCTTTATTTAAAGTACGTAATCAATTATCCGGGTTAAGCAACGGTATGAAGAATACAGAATGTGTGGGAGGGGGGTAGGTTAATCACCGCGATCTGTAGATCTATTGTGTGCCCCACTTTATTGAGTTATAATGAGTTATAACTCAACATACGGTCTCAGGGCTTTGGCAAACGCCAGTATCTGAGACGGCTTCAGAGAGGCTGGTTCTCCATCCCCGATAGCTTCAATCGTACCAAAGTTTAAGGTACCAATGGTTGCCATTTCGGCGCACTAAGAGAGAGGTATTCTGGTGTTTCTCCATTTTCCCCACAGAAGCTGCATTTGCTGTTATTTCTTAGCTTCAATCTACGTTGAGGAGAGAGAGTTTGTGTCCTGTTAAAAACCTCTCGATAATCCAAACATTGTTCTCACTTAAATCAAGAAAAATCTTCGAAAAACTCCTTCGAGTGTCTAAAGGTTTTAGACTTGTGATGATTTTTATAGGATACCTCAATTCATATAACGTGCAATATGACCGTAATATGATAGCTTTACAACCAAAAAAGGCCCATTTTTATACAACCGTTTAGTAGTATAGAAGTTCTATAAAAAGGGTATACAACTCTTATGCAACTATTTTACACAGTATTATATGACTATTATAAAACTAGTTTTATTGTGTATTACGTGGTCACATCTAAGAAACAGAACAATAAAAACATTTGATCATTTAGCGAGGTACAAGAGTATTTTATTTTTTACCAAAGAATATTTGGAGCAAATTATATTTTAAGCGTGTCGTAAAATGAATCTAGAGGATGTGGATTGTTAAAAAGGAGACTTTACTCGACAATGAAAATGGCGGGCAGAGCCAGAAGGTACAACAAATATGTACTATAAAAAATCATTAATAGGGTTTGAAAAGTAGGGACAATTTTTGTTGCGCCGAAAATTTTTCTGGTAGATTATAGGTATGTATTTGGCAAAAAATTAAAGCGCTTTAATTTCGATTAAGGTTTACATATAAATTTAAATAATAAAATAAAATAAAATTTTCAAAAATTCTTGTTTTTAATTTAATGAAACACTTTATTACTGTATGTGGGAATCTTATCACAAAATAGTTCTCAAAAATAACATTTTACAATGTATTTTAATGTTTTTAATTTTGCTTCATATAATGGCGGCCATAATGGCGGCCATAAATGAATCCCTTAAATAAGTCTTTGTTGTAAAATAAAACGGTATAGGATAAATATCTATCATTACGCAGAATTTCCAGGCACTATAGAACTATTTTGGACATATTGAGATTTGTGACAAATAGATGTTGCCAAATCTCATTTGATTAGTATTTAAACTAACAAACATGATCAGATTTTCATGGATTCATGCACGCAATGCATTTCATGCGTGCCCGACGAGTGAGCGGCAACCTAAAGACTTGGAAAAACAACAATAAAACAATACAAACATTACTACAGTAAAACTTTTACACCAACGTGGCAACAATGCTTTGGAGAAGCCAGACAACCGGAGAGATTTTGGCTTTTGAGAACCCAGGGAATTCTGTGGATTATTTGCCGTAATTTCGAGGAGTTTTTTCTTACATGCTCTTTATAACTACCACTGCGTTTGTTAACTTTTTTCCAACTTTGTCCAGAATTCATAATAGCTGTGATTGATTATACTCGTACGTAGATATTACTTTTGCAACAACAACAATAACAAAATAAATAACTAGGTATACCATTTAATTTAAAATGAGGTTATATTATACATTACCAGTTTTATAATGCAGATATTACAGCGAATTTATTTTGTTAATCACAATTTTTATCATATAAGGCTATATAACTGTGTTGTATACAGCACCGTAGTTTAACGCAATAAAACGTTCTATCATACAACGTAATACAACTTTAATAAGACAAGTTTAAGTAACTATTATATGATCTTGTGACTACTAGTTATATGAATATTATAGAACTCTTACATGGTGGGTATAAGAGTCTAATAAAATAATATGTTTGTTATCATATAGCATTGTCTTATTAAGTGTTATATCATACTAAAAGAAATTATCGTTTAATGCGTTATAGGATACGTTGTAAAAACTACTAGAAAATAGTTTAATATGACAACTTTTATTAAAAAACAGAATGGTCGAAACCAAACGCTTAATAAAATCAAACAGTCCTTAAGACAACGCTATTCGACTGTTATAAAATAATTCAATCCTTTTAGAATTTCTTTTTGCTACTTGGGTATAATTGGACCTTCTTAGTGACACATTCACGAAAATCTAGTTGATGACAGAACGAGGCGAAAACGATAAAAAGATCGTTAAATTCGCGAATAAATTTCGGTGGGACTCTATTTCCGAGACATCCTTGCGCCGACGATTCTTAAACTAAGGTCAGCGAAAAGGCGATGTCGGCCGGCTGGCTCTAGGTTCAGGGTTGTCGTCGAGTTTTTATTTACGACACTGCTTTAATCGACAGGTTTATCGCTGCTTTGTTTTGCTCGGGTTAAAAGTATATTAATGAAGAGCATTTAAACTTGACGGCGAATATATGAGAACATTTCCCGATTCGTTGGAAATTTCGAGAGATCCAGAGGATCCAGATGTCGTTTCTTTATGTCACAGTGGCTGTGATACTCACTAAATTTGACTTTTAGGCTATACAAATTTTTTTGACAGCTAGTTTTTTTCGTCCAAATTTTTTTTAATATTTTTTTTTCTCATAAACGGTTAATGTTAGGTATAGAGTGTTTGAATATCAAAAGTCATAAAATTTTACAGAGAATTTAAGAATGTAATAAAAAATGGGGGAAGCCATTTAAAATAAGAAAGTGTTTCCGGAAGTGCTGCCATATTGAAAATATTTTTAATCGATAGATCTCGTTGTAAAACAATGATGTACAAATAATCTCCGATCTAGATATTGTAGTTCTCTAAAAACTTCTAGTGCACGCTCAGCTTGGGATACCCTGTATGAAAGCGATAGATTAAAGAGTAGTTAATAACATTTTTAAAATATAAAACGCAAAAAACAAGCCTCACTACACAATGGAAACAAGATTATGACATATGATTATGACAATATGATAATAATGAAAAGTTGGTTTCCATAACAATGTATAATCTGTACTTTCTAAACTGTATAAAATTGTGATTGTTTTGGAAATACGTGCAACTTTTAATGCGCATGCGCAAAGTAAGGTGACAGGTCCTCGAGAAAGACAAACCTATTGAACGTTTCATAAGTGCAATAAAGAAGGTATATATATTTCGTATGGCGTATTAAGAGTACACATGATATCAAGAAATTAAAAAAAGAAATCAATACAATAATACAAACAATTCAAAGATCAACAATCAGATGTGTAAGAGACATATCACAATGTTACAGTAAAAACGAACAACTATAAATTTACACTACAAGATTTAGCTCTGCGATCCATTCTATAGCATCCAGGTCAGCCTCATGAAGACGATTTAAAGAGAACTGCGCCTTTGTTAATGGGCACTCTGTTGCGATATAAAAAGGTGTATGTTCAGAATCGCAGTTAGGGCTGTCGGTTAGTCCCCATTTGTGTGTCCAGAAGCGGGTTCTGCCCGGTTAGTTCTGCCATGGTTAGTTCTGAACCGATTGAGTGTTGTCCACGTTTTTCTTGGCAAATTGAATCCGGGAGGGCAGAGTACTGGGTCAGTTATCAAGTGATTGAGGTCAGGATTATTTTGTGACCATTCATCTTGCCAGCAGTTTCAACCCGAAAGTTGGAATTTAGTAGCTGCTGCTCTAATACCCATGGCGGTTTTCTGGATTTCAGGCGATTCAAGAAATTTTCGCAATGATCATGGATGGGCAGATGAACATTGCTGGTGCACTTTTTCCACTCTCTGACTAGAGCCGCCTGTCTTCTCAGATGAGGGGGAGTAATGTTTGATAATACAGGGAACCACTGGATCGGAGTGCTTCTGATAGTGCCCGTTATAATTCTCATCGCGCTGTTAAGACGAGTGTCAATAAGATGAGTATGATTGCTATTTATCCAGACAGGGCAGCAATATTCTGCCACCGAATATGTGAGGGTCATTGCAGTTGTTTTAAGTACCCTGGTGTTTGCTCCCCAGCTGCTACCTGCGATCTTGTGCAGTATATTATTTCTAGTATTTATTTTTGCAGCCGTCTTGGTGAGGTGTGGCTTGAACGTGAGAGACCGATCCAATGTGACTCCTAATTATTTTGGGTGAGAGTTGTATTTTACCAGTTGATCCCCAAATTTGACTTGCGCGATCCCCAAAATACTTGGCTTGTAAGTTGTGAAGATGAAAGCACGAAACCTCAGTCTTAGCAATGTTTGGGCGAAGCCTCCACTTACGAAAGTAGTCATTTAACCTCTGCAAGTCATCTGATAGAACACGTGATATCCTCACGGCAAAATAGTCTACACATTGGCTGCTGAACCTCTTAGAGGATTTCCCAGCAAAGCAAAGAGTACGTTATGAGATCTCAGAGTAGAAACAACGGCCCTTCTAGGGGCCAATCGACACGGGACTGTAACAACGTCCTAAGAATCTTACAAATTAATGTCGAAGGAATCAGCAGAGCTAAGAGCGATTATCTGATTAAACTTACCAATGACAATCTTGGGGGCATAAAGAAGGTT